ATGCTTTAGATCTGAACATAACACCCTTTATCTTATCCCTACAAATTTCTTCCAATGTCTGTTTTTTGTTTTCCAATTCTGTAAGAGAGTCTGTAGAGGGGTATTTATTAATAATTTCTTCTAATTTGATAATATCACTCACTAGAGCTTTCTCCTGTCTTTTTCTATTCTCAACCTTATTTACAGAGAAAGAAATAGTTAGTGTACGTATTTTCATTTTTAATATTTCAAATAATAATTGGTCATTTATCCGAAAAGTGGTGAACTCAAGATTCTGTTTGTCCCCAGTTGTGATGTACTCATCTATAGTTTCACTAATACAGTTTTTAACCTGCCTGACATATTCTGCTTCCCCTAACAGTTTGATGTTGTGCTTCCAATATCCCCTTCCTCTTTGTATATTGTCTAGATTTAGTTCTAAAGAAATACACGAGTGATCAGTTCTGTAACCTGGAAAAATAGCCGTGGCTTTAATTTTTGTAAAAATATCACTTGTAGTTAAAAAATAATCTAATCTGCTTTGCCAGATAGGTGTTTTTTGCCTCCAAGTGAAAGTTTTTTGTTCTGGATAAAAATTCCTCCAAGGATCAACAAGATCAAAACTATTCATAATATTATGAATGCTTAACTGACATTTAGGGTTGTTATTTCTTACAATATTATGAGTGTCCTTATCCCTGTCCAGAACTGTATTCCAATTCCCACATATAATCATAGGATACCCTTCCCAAGTTTTCAACGTTTCACTAATGTTTTCAAAAAACTGAGGTTTATCTAGGTTGGGCCCATATATACATGTCAGTATTAGCCTATTAGTATTAATAGACATATCCAAAATAATAAACCTACCTGCTGGGTCTAATCTACTACCATGTATAGTGTAACTAAATGTATTTCTGAACAAAATAGCCACACCTGCAGGATGTTTTCTTGACACAGTTTATATACAAACCTTACAAAGACATTACTTGAACATTTCAAATAAAAAATTGCAGCATACTAATATGTACAGGCACAGGTATAGATCTAGAGATGTATAGATCATATATACCGTATTTATTCCAATAAAGGCCCCCGGGGCGTAAAATTTTTCAGACAGGGGGCGATTAATAGAACACAAAATTTTATAATTTGTTGGTTGTGACATGCCATGGCTGCCACTTAAAAACATTGTTTAACAAACTAATGAATTACTCAGCAAAGAATGCATTTGAATATTGCAGTAATTCCAACATCATCGTAGCTTTAAACATTGTTGTCAATTGCATTCTGATAACCTGAATTCTTGTATGAAATGACACAGTGTCAATTGTGTAGCTTCAGTCAAAAACGTACAATGTTCATCATCGCTTGTAGGCCTAGTTTGCATAACAAAATAAAAAAACACAGCGGTATATAAGTCAGTCTGTTTCTTAATAAATCCCACATACCTGATAACAATGTCTGGGACAAAACGAAATTACGACACTGCTTTTAAGCTTAAAGTAATCGCCTTCGTAGAGGAGAAGGGTAAACATGCTGCCGCGAAAGTGTTTCGTGTTTTCAGAAAACGAGTGCGGGACTGGTGTCAAAACAAAGAAAAATTTTAAAATCTTTCTAAAACATCTAAACGCTGTAAAGGAGGTGGGAGGCATGTCAGATATGAAGATATTGACAAAAATCTGATGAGATGGCTACAGGACAGACGGGAGGCCGGAATACGAGTGACTGGGAAAGCATTGCGGTTTGAGGCCCTGCGTATCCATAAGGCAAATGGTAGTCAATTGTTCAAAGCCTCATATGGATGGTTTTCTAAATTCAAAAAGAGACATAACATTTCGTTCAGGCGATCTACGCATGTGGCACAACATGAAGTTTCATTAATTGATGATCGTATTGACAGTTTTTTTAATTTCGTGTTAAGAATGCGTCGCTACGAGAATACCCCGATAGCCATATCGCTAACATGGACGAAACCCTGGTGTGGTTTGACATGCGAGGAAAATCGACATTGGCAATAAAGGGGGAAAAGGAGGTCAGAGTTTACAGTACTGGCTACGAAAAACAAAAAATAATGATGACACTGGCAGCATATGCCGCTGGGACTAAAATCCCCCCCCCCCCCCCTTGTGCACATGCCAGGCATTCATCCCCTTCCAAAAGATGACATACCAAGTGGTATTGTGGTATACATGTGCAGGGCCGGACAAAAATCCTGGGCAAACGAGGAAAGTATAAAATTTTGGTTAAAAAAACTCTGGGGTGTGAATAATACAGCTAGGTGTTTATTAGTATGGGACGCTTTCCGTGGTCATCTTACTGAAGATGTTAAAAAAACTGGTTCATCAAAAATATAATTCAGACATCTGTGTTATACCCGGAGGATGTACATGTAAGCTACAGCCAGCCGACGTGTCGTGGAATAAACCCTTCAAACAAAAACTTGGAGAGTTGTATGACGAATGGTGTTTCAGTGGGCCCATTGAGAAAACCAAAGCAGGGAATCGTAAAGCCCCATCTAAAGCTGTAATGTTGTCTTGGGTCAAGACAGCATGGGATAGCATTAGCCCGAACACAATCAGAAGATCGTTCAAAAAATGCGGTATCACAAATTCGCTGGACGGTAGCGAGGATCATATTTTCCAGCATGATTCTGACGATGGGGAATTCCAGGGGTTTAGTGAAAAGGATGTCCAAGCTGCAGATGACGTTTTGCAAAATTTAATGGGTGATGTGAACGCGCCTTCTATTCCACAAATAGAACTGAGTGAAAGCGAGACTGGCGAAAGTGAAAGTGAAAGTGAAGTCAGTAGTTCATACAGCAGTCCAGGCCATTAGACCTGCAGTATATTGAAATGAACCGTGGATTAAAATGATATTACTTGTGTACATGTCGTGACAGTGTAATTTTCTTGTGCCAAAATTCATTTGTTCATGTTCATGGATACCAGGAATTTAAAATTTATTAAAAGGTAAGCTTTGTAACCTGACTCCTGAGTTGTTGAAATTTACTGAGAAAACAGGTGGGGGCGTTTATTAGAGACGGGGCGTTTATTGGAATAAATACCGTATCTAAGAACATGTAGATGACCCTCGACTATGGCTGGAGGGTCACACACCTAAATATATGATCTTGAGATCAGTTTACATACAGATTTCACATAACAACTATTGCATTTTATGAAGCTAGCATTTACAGATATCAGTGTCCCAGATGGTGGATAAGAGACCCAGCTAACACCACAGCTGTTGTACATGTGCTTCTGTCTTTCATAACAAAAAGAGAACTTTCCCTCCAAAAATTAGCTAACAAGAGGGCAAATATAAAGTCATGTAATGGTCAAGTTGATTATGGACATTACATACATATATACAACATGAGCACAAGGCATGGACAAGTACATGCACAACTACACAACATAAAGAAAGATAGATCACATGACTATACATACAAAGAATGTGTACAGGTAAAATCCATTTGTACCTGTAACTTACGGGTAGTGAGGTGGTGTGAGTGGACACTAGACATATACAGTATATAACTGTAACAAAAATTGCTCATCAGAGGGCAATGCTAGAGACCAACCACACACTGCTGCATAATTTTTTATCAGGTTCCACTGCCACTTTCTCTTGCATATTTCTCTTAGCAAAATTCTATACAGGACAATAACAACTTAGACAAAATCACATTTCAACACTTTAACTTAATAAATTGCAATTTAGCCTAATAACCATATGTCAGAATATGAATTAGAAACTATGAATTTATAAAAGTCTAACATCAAGGAACATTCAACCACCTACTGCTAAAAAAAAACTAAGTGCAACTCAGCCATGTAAGCCCTGTGCTTGAATGAAATGTTTCTAACCCACCTATCTCTTTCCTAATTGTGAGCTACAGCTCAATCCTGTACAAGAATTCACTAAACGACTCATTAGGCAACACATGTAGAACTTCAGGCCACTGTTCAAATAAAAGTTACTAACCCCTCTGTTTCATTCCTAACCGTGAGATATGGTTCAATATCTTACGAGAACTCACTAAACGACTCTTAAAAGCAGAAGTCTTTCAGTGCACAAATAAACAAATCCGACCAATTCCATGTGGAGTTAATCACGGACAATAAGCTCAAAATACTTCAACATCATCAATTAATGATATTGTATATTTCTCCCCCCCCCCCCCCTCCACCTTAATTTTAGCTTGCATACATTGGGCTTCCTCATTTTGTCATACTTAATAAGGTAAGGGCTCACTGCCAATGCATTATACAGGTGTCCTATAGATAGGGATATATTTGCCATTAGCTTGTGTCCTCTTTATTTAGTATGCTTTTGCCCAGTGTTAAATTTCCCTCCTAAAATACGTCAATGCCATTTAGTAATTTGAAGACTTTAAAAAATTTAACACACGTGACCTGAATATGGGTCAAGGTCATTTTTTTGCTAACATTGTCACTTAACTAAGCTTTCATGACAGGAACCTTAGAGGAAACAAAAATGTTGGTAGCGAACAAAAAATCTGTACGAAAATTCCTGTAACTTGTCAGGAATGTTGGTAAGTTCCACAGAAAAAGCATAAGTCCAGACAAGAGCCTTTGATTCTTGTTAGGCCTATAGTTTCTGGGATGTTAAATCTTTAGCTTGTCTAATAAGTCAAACATTTCACATAACCCATGCAAGAAAAGGGTCGTGTAGACATCCAAATACCCTCATTATGCAGCAGCCATACCGGTTACTATTTCCAATGCCTCTGCTAGGAATTGAACCCAGGACCCATGGCATAATGATAATATTCAATCTATTGAGGTAAATCTCACTATCGGATAGTATCCAAATCTAGTGTTTACTAAGCTTATGTCATTCACTGGCTCCAGGAAATCAACTCTTCCTCAGTTTTTTTCAGGGGTAACAGTGATGCTTGTGAAAGTAACGTTGATTCATCAGTAAATTCCACGCACACACTACATTAGAGTAGTAGAGAGATCTGCAAACGGCTATGTGATAAGCTAACCTACCTGTATCATTGTTTCTTTACATTGTTTCATCGGGAATCGTTTTCTTCTGACTCGTATACAATAAACCAACATGAAGTATCCACTGTCACGGTTTAAATCCAGTCATTCGCATTGTCCACTTGTAATATCAATCAGCTGACGAAATATTACCTAACTTAATAATCCCCAGGAAGTTACCAAAGACATGTAATAAACGGCCCGTGAATATTGTTCATAGTCCGGAATCAACAGAAAAAAAGGATGGGCTCTTCTGTTTGTTTGTTTGTTTTTTTTTTTTTTTTTCTAATTAAGATCGAGCTCTTTTCCATGTGTTTATGCTTAAACGCCCGAGTTAAATAGAATAAATATATGGAAATGCAATATATTGCTATAACTGGTGTGAACGGTCTCAAGTGACGAAAGTACGTGGACCACTTTGCATATTCGCGACGAGATCCGGTATATCATATAACGACCAGAAAACGTATCCCGTGTCAGAGAAGTAGCATGTCTGGGAATTCAGCTCAGTTGTAAGTGCGTCCGCGAAAGTAATCTTGAATCGTGATTTCAGGAGCAAATAAAAGGGAGAACCATTTAGCGGACCCAGACGGCAAAGTAGTGATTCTATAAATCCCCGATCTTCTGATATAAAAGATATTACACAATGATATCCTTTGATGAGGTCCATAAATGGTTTAAAATCCAAAATTATATTTTTGTTTCCAGCACTAAGATTGAATTTCTTGTCATTATTTAAGCTAGCCTGAAGAATTGAAAGACATAATTTTATTTACATGTTATTTTGATAGTAGGCCTTTTACGTACAATCGTTAATTGTCTCAGTTACCGGTATTGTATTGAAGTATTGGAAGGGATCAGCTTGTGTACATTCCTTAAAGCGCCAATCCCGTTGGCGCCATAGTATGGCAAGCCGTTTTAACATTTAATCCTATTTCCTCTTAAGGGGATAGTTTTTTCACTGAAGTGAAATTCTTTTTCACTTAAGTGAAAAACAATTGCACTTAAGGGGAAATGAAACATAATGCAAATTATTAATACAACTTAAGGGGGAGAAAATCACTTAAGGGATTCTTTTTTTTCACTTAAGTGAAATAAATCCTAATGCATAATAATGTTTATTTCCCTTAAGTTTAAAAGAATTTCACTTAAGTGAAAAAGTGATATGTGCTGACATAATGCTAAATTACATTCACTTAAGGGATATTTTTTCCACTTAAGGTAAATAAAACAGTCAGTATGCTATCCACCCCCATTTCAAAATGGGAAATCGACCAGAGAAAGCGAATCTGATTGGTCAGATAGAAAATACCAAATGATTGGTTAATAAAATGGATTAGTCCAAAACTGTTGAAGAAGGTAGGTGTTCATACATCCCACTGCTTGTTTAAATTCACTTAAGTGAAAACGATTTTAACTTAAGTGAAATAATAAACCTCTTAAGACTTATAAAAATTATTTCACTTAAGTGAAATAGTTTTACACTTAAGTGAAATAAATCATAATGCGAAAAGATGTTTAATTACCTTGAGACAAAAATAATTTCACTTAAGTGAAATAAATTTATTCCACACTTCATCTTAAGAGGAAATAGGATTAAATGTTAAAACGGCTTGCCATACGTGTGTAACCTATAACCGCAACTCCGCACCGCCACTTGCGGGAATTTGAAACTTGGCACTTGATGTTATATGATAGACGATTAATAATATTTTTTTTAAATCAAAGATGTTCTGATATTGATTGTGGTATTCAACACGATAATCTCGTGCGACACTATATGATTAGAGACGTATATATCATGTGTTATATATGTCTCTGATATGATATACTTACCTATCACGTTAGAATATTAGTTTTTATAATACAACCAGTGGACGATTGAAGTGTAACGTTTTAATTAATGACTACACGATCACCTTCATCAGACAAATGACCAGTGAAGTTACGTGGAAGTAATGAATCGACCCTATGTACACTAAGGTCGAAAACAGTGTGACGAGATGGTAAATAGATTGTAGAAAAAAGTACACAAAATGATAACAATGTACCGTAGTCAATTCGGCTACACTTTGTTTAACACTTGGTCATAAGTATGCGAGAGTCTGTTCTGAAATATGCATGGGTATAAACCATTTCTTAACCAATATACGGTACTTTAGAAGCCTGTGTCAAAAGGAAGCAATATGAAAAAAGGCAGAAACAGAAAACATTGATATATTTTAGATCTGAGGAACTGATAAGTCTCTGTGATCTAATCTTACTCGAATACTGAATTCGAACGACGAGAGATTTCCCAACTCGTCGTTAACGTGCACGTTAAAAGGCCAATACGTCAAATTCTTGAATCATTAATTTAAATCACCCTAAGTAGTAACATTAGAAAAGCTGATACAGACTTGTTTATGTCTCAGCCGAACTATGTTTGACATACATTTTGTGTTCATAAATATTTAAACAAGTAAGAAGTGTTAATATGTCCATGGGGAATACGATACATGTACTTTTGTTAATCCCTAAAACGCATCTTCGACGTTGGAACAGGGCGGATACAGCTCGAACTCTGAACCCGGGGATATTAAACCCAGAACCCAAGCAGAATATTGTTTTCAGTTACCATAGAAAACACAAAAAAGAACCAACGTTTTGGAGGAAAAGGACCAATGTATTTTCCTTTTCATCGTAGTAATATTCAGGTTATCGCAATTTTGACCAATGAGAATCATCAATTATGTTTCCATAGCAACAATTCTGGAAACACCTTTCGTGTCAACGTGGCTTTGATAAATCGCACTATTTGATAAGTTTCATTGATCTAAACACTGGTGAATTACGGACAATTTATAAAAATAAAACATGGTGTACAGTCATCTGGTTACCCATAGAAACCAAAATTTCTGTTTGAAGAAGTGCATGCATATCTACACATGGTATAGAAATTACGATTTCATGAAGATCGATTTAAATTAAGGATGTGCATTGCGGGGAAGAAGGGGAGGGGTACTTGAGTATGAGGGTGTTGAATGCTAAAATCACTTTCCGTGCCCTACGTATATTTTGTATGACTAGACCAATAAACGAGAATGATTGTAATTGCATTTGATTATTTCTTTGTCCCGCCTGGAAAACATAAAATTTTAAAAAAGGCACAGTTGATTTATGAATTATTTATCATTGTATCTGTAGTATTATTATGTGTTGTTCATAAGACACACAAGTCAATATCACCCTTCAATACTATTTTATAATTAGATAATAATGAAGTAAATCATATTATATTATTGTTTCGTTCTTCGGGAATCGTCGGTGGACATGTAATTAATATGCAACATCTAACAGTAATGAATCATTAATGATACAGTCCCGGTAACGCACAACGCGCCAAATCTTCGTACGCACATCGTGCATACAACGTGCGCACACACGCACGATACAGTATCGTGCGCACAATTAAACGGGAAAATCGTCGTATTATTACTAAATAGCGATTACATGGACGTTGGAATTGATCGTTGATTATATAAGGACTTATTAATTCGACAGTTTTCGAAATAACACTAAACCTCCATTAATTAGTCTTGTCGTATAAAGTTTTACACCCCAGAAAGTGGCGAGTAGTGGAGCCTCCGACAACAAAAGTTTACTTGTATACGGGGCCATACGTGACAGGTCCGAATCCGTACCGGCTGGGTCACCCATCCGAGTGTATCCAACAATTTAGTGTTAATCTGATATATCTTCAAGTGTCCAACATGTATATCAAAGACTTCACTAGGAAATATACTTGGTTGTATTCTAATATATTTAGAAAATAAATAAACCCTATCCCACACTTATTTATATGTCATTTCTAAATTTATATCAACCACGATAGAATCGCACTTTCATCCGACATAACCGCACAAATATGCGATAGCTTATTTCGTCCAATTTTCCTATCCTGCACATATTGCGCAGACATCATGCGCACATCGTATATCGTTTAACGTTGTGTGTTCCCACAACTGTGGGAACAGGAAATCAAACAGACGCCAGACCAGCCTAACGTCGACTAACGACCAACAGACGCCAGACCAGCCTAAAGTTCACGAACAACTTACAGACGCCAGACCAGTCAACGTCGACTAACGACCAACAGACGCAAGACCAGTCAACGTCGACTAACGACCAACAACCGCTAGACCAGTCTAACGTCGACTAACGACCAACAGACGCCAGACCAGCCTAACGTCGACTAACGACCAACAGACGCCAGACCAGCCTAAAGTTCACGAACAACTTACAGACGCAATACCAGTCAACGTCGACTAACGACCAACAGACGCAAGACCAGTCAACGTCGACTAACGACCAACAGACGCTAGACCAGTCTAACGTCGACTAACGACCAACAGACGCCAGACCAGCCTAACGTCGACTAACGACCAACAGACGCCAGACCAGCCTAACGTCGGCTAACTACCAACAGATGCCAGCCCAGTCTAACGTCCACTAAAGACCAACAGACGCCAGACCAGTCTAACGTCGATTAACGACCAACAGACGCCAGACCAGCCTAACGTCAACTAACGACCAACAGACGCCAGACCAGTCTAACGTCGATTAACGACCAACAGACGCCAAACTAGTATAACATCGGCTAACGACCAACAGACGCCAGACCAGCCTATCGTCGACTAACGACCAACAGACGCCAGACCAGTCAGCGTCGACTAACGACCAACAAACGCAAGACCAGTCTGACATCGGCTAACGACCAACAGACGCCAGACCAGCCTAACGTCCACTAACGCCCAACAGACGCCAGACCAGCCTAAAGTTCACGAACAACTTACAGACGCCAGACCAGTCTAATGTCGATTAACGACCAACAGACGCCAGACCAGCCTAACGTCCACTAACGACCAACAGACGCCAGACCAGTCTAACATCGACTAGCGACCAACAGACGCCAGACCAGCCTAACGTCCACTAACGACCAACAAACGCCAGACCAGTCTAATATCGATTAACGACCAACAGACGCCAGACCAGTCTAACGTTGACTAACGACCAACAGACGCCAGACCAGTCTAACGTCCACTAACGACCAACAGACGC